CCGGAGGAGGGGCTGCAAAGCCAGCCCAGGGAGCTGTGAGGAGGAAAGAGCCGTCCTGTGCCGGGAAGGCGGCCGGAGCTTGAGCCGGAGCTCCGAGCTGGTGGTCCCTGAGCAGCCTCCCAGCAGGGAGAAGCCCTTCAGGTGCTTGGAATGTGGGAAGAGCTTCAGCCGGAGCTCCACCCTCCTCAGCCACCAGCTCATCCACACTGGGGATCGGCCCTACACATGTAGGGAATGTGGGAAGAGCTTCAGGAGCAACTCCAGCCTTCTCAGGCACCAGCACATCCACACTGGAGAACGACCTTACACATGTGGGGCATGTGGGAAGAGCTTCAGGGACAGCTCCACCCTGATCAAACACCAGCGCATCCACACTGGGGAACGGCCCTACACATGTGGGGAATGTGGGAAGAGCTTCACTGGTAGATCCGACCTGATCAAACACCAGCGCATCCACACTGGGGAACAGCCCTACACGTGTGGGGAATGTGGGAAGAGCTTCAGTGACAGCTCCACCCTCCGCAAACACCAGCTCATCCACACTGGGAAACGGCCGTACAAGTGTGGGGAATGTGGGAAGAGGTTTCGTAGCAGCGGGAATCTCCTCCTGCATGAGCGGATACACACAGAGGAGAGGCCCTTCCGCTGCACCGACTGCGGGAAGGGCTTCAACCAGAACTCCAACCTCATCACCCACCGGCGCATCCACACCGGGGAGAGGCCCTACAAGTGTGGGGAGTGTGGGAAGAGCTTCAGTCGGAGCTCCCACTTGACCAGACACCAGCGGACCCACCGGTAAGGGAAAACCCTACGAATGCCCCGACTGTGGGAAGAGCTTCGGCCACTGCTCCCACCCCGAATGACCCCCCTGATGGTGAGGCAACCCCTGGAGTCCAGTGACTGTCAGTCCATCCCTTTCTACCAGAAAGGGCCAGTCCCCTTTGCCAGGGGCAGGTTGTGCCAACAGAACCCTTCTTGGGGGGTGTGTGGAGATTCCTGCCTTGGCTGGGACCCCCCAAGGTCAGTGCTGGAGGTTGA